CCATATCATCCCATGGGTGTCGTAAGAGGCGACAGACGGAAACAAATCAGGAGATGGGCAGCAGCGTCTTCCTGATAAAGACTAAAAATAAAAAACTGCGGTTGCCAACCCGCTTGCCAAGCGTGGCAACTATGGCAAACATCCCCCCTGTGAGGAAATCTATGGGAGTTCAGCAGTGGACTTTAATAGGCTGTAAAACTAACGGTAATGTTTGCTTGAACAGGAACATTCATTTGATGCCTGCAGATTGTCATAGTCGGTGGTATTATATTTTTATCTAGATGATGGCATGACTCGGTGATCTGAAGCTCAGTTGCGATTTCTAACTAAAATGCCTTGTTATTGACGCCATTAACTATCATTCAACGACTACAGCTGTTTTGTTTGCAATTTTAAGTACAGTGTATTTTTACGACCAGCATGAACGGCAATAACAACTTAATTTATTTGTACAACAAATTAATGATTACAAACTTCCTTTTTAACGGCATAGTTAGATTAACGATAGGCGAGTTTAGAGATTTGTTTGATTGAGTCATATAGTTAATGACGATAGCCAAAACTCTTTTAGTCCCAAAGGACCTATTGGTAACAAGGCATTCCATAGTTAGGGGATCAATAATTACGTCTCGTCAAATGTATAAAACTATAAAATAGGATAATATAGGTGTAAATGGGTCGCAGACTTATAGCAGTGGTAGCTCAGTAGCTAAATGTTCGCACGTGCAGTAGCAAATTACACAACTCGCATCAACTCGGGTTCGATCTCTGCCGGTATCAATAAAATTGTTAATTGCATGCATTTTATATGCCGATTTGCCACGTACTCAGTAGTAAACGATAAAATCGTGAGGAAAACTGCATTTCTCAGGAATTCAAGTAAATGTTTCGAGGACATGGGACACTCACTTGCTCTTAAACCTTCTCAGAAATGAGAAGAGGACTTTGGCCAGCTGTGTGATGGCTGCTACTTTACATTACTTCTTTTCATGGGTCGCCGCATCCACTTACAATCAGGTGAACTTACTTTATACGTGGTAGAGCCACATGGCCGCTATGTTCTAGTTGTAGCACGTATAGATCGACTCAACCCGGTAATTACCACGGTCTCACAGAATACCAGCGTAAAATAGTAGCTTAATGCTTCTGTGTTTCGTATGTTTAGTGTAGAGAACTTGAGATTCTTTTTACTGGAAACGGGGCATTCCATATTAGTCCTCAGGGTTAACAACGCATCTGCATTTTGATTTTTACCATCAGGTGGACTGTGTGCTCGTTTGTCATTCTTATTCTATTACCACACCTATAAAAAAAGGAATTTAAAAATAATTTTGTAATGTCATAGCATTTTAATGAGCCTTCAACCAACTATCAATATTTCCTTTCAAGAACTTAACTACATCTGACGAATAGAAAAGAATAGAATATTTTTATTTAATATAGATTATAAGGATACTCATTGAAATTCAATGCTTTTACCACTTGTTCGGAAAAAAATCTCTGTCCTAGAAAGAACCAGTAAGAAACCAAAAGCGGACTTTTTAAAAAAATATCGTTCTACAATATAATATTGTATACAATATGTGATAATTGCATATCTAATAATATATAATAATTGTATACAACTGTAGACTATCGGTCCGTGGGGTCCACGTGCGGTAAAGTTCCTCAGGAACTTTATCCGTGACTGGTGGTCGCTGCTGGTGATAAGAGGGCTGGTTCTTTTCTCGCTCAAAGGCTAAGTATAGCCATTCAGCGAGGAAACGCAGCCAGCGTTCTTGGCACGATACCGCGGGGAATAGGACTGTATGATAATTTAACTTATTAGTTTCAGTTTTTTTTACAGTAGTTTTTAATGGTTTTAATTATATTTTATATTTTTCATTGTTACTACATATGCAAGAAACAGCATTGTAGCATGGTAGGAACGTCATTCCAAGGGGTTATTATCAAGTGTTTGTACGTGCCAAGCTATAAGTATGGTTGTAGTACGAATGGGTCGGCTCGACCGAGGTAGGACCACGCTCTCACAGAATACCAGCGTAATTATAGTGAGTGTGGAGAACCGGAGAACCTTTTGGAACAGACTGGATCTCTGTCCACTGGAAATGAGGCATTCCACCTTAGTCCTCAGGGGTAACAACGCACCTGCATTTTGATTCTCAATCGAGGATAAATGTAATTATCTATATGGGCCACAGCATCCACTTACCATTAGGTGGACTGTATGCTTGTTAGTCCCCCATATTCTATTGAAAAATCTCTTTTTCGTGGTATAATAACGCTTATTAAATAGTTTTTGCTTTATAATAAATTTCAAGGCCAATCAATACATTTGAGCAGTTGGTGCTGGGTATTTTCCATGTTCGTTAGTTTTTTCGGTCCTCTGTACGACCATACTATAGACCATAATTTACTATAACACCAACTTAAATAGGCACGTGACGCTGCTGTGTTTCGTATGGAGAGTGACGAGAACCGGAGACCTTTTAATTGTAACTAGACATGTTATATAAGTATTCAGATGTTTGCATCGCACGCATCTGTAGCCTCTTTTGTTTGAAGCTGGCTGCAGATGTAGGTACACTGCAGTAGCCATTCATCATCAGGTAAATTTTACTAGGTATCAGGTCACCCTTCAAACCGAAGTAGCGGAGGTACTGCTTTTGGCAGCACCTACTTCGACTCCTAGTAAGAACAGGAGTCCTATCAGAGTTTTATACGTGGTAGTGCCACGCTGCAGGTGACAAACGAGCAAACAGTCCACCTGATGGTACTAGTAAGTGGATACTGTGGCTCATAGACATCTATATTTATCCTCGATTAAGAATCAAAATGCCGACGCGTTGTCACACCTGAGGACTAAGATGTAATGCCTCGTATCCAGTAAAAAGGATCTCCGGTTCTCTTCACTCACCATACGAAACACAGCATCATTAAACTGCTACTTTACGATGGTATTACGTGAGAGCGTGGTCCTTCCCCGGTCGAACCGACCAATTCGTGCTACCACCATAATATAACTGCAGCATGGCTCTACCACGTCAAAAGTTTACTTGTGAATAATTTGATTTCTATTAGTTTCACTTTTTTTCAAATATCACTATGAGAAATTATTTAAAAGCCTGGTAGGACTAATCTAAGTGGTGGGACTTCTGTTCTTACTAGGAGTCGAAGTAGGTGCTGCCAAAAGCAGTACCTCCGCCCCTTCGGTCTGAAGGGTGACCTGATACCTAGTAAAATGTACCTGATGATGAATGGCTACTGCAGTGTACCGACACCTGCAGCCAGCTTCAAACACAAGAGGCTACAGATGCGTGCGATGCAAACATCTGAATACTTATACAACATGTCTAGTTACAATTAAAAGGTCTCCGGTTCTCGTCACTCTCCATACGAAACACAGCAGCGTCACGTGCCTATTTACGTTGGTGTTATAGTAAATTATGGTCTATAGTATGGTCGTATAGAGGACCGAAAAAACTAACGAACATGGATAATACCCAGTAGGTACCAACTGCTCAAATGTATTGATTGGCCTTGAAATTTATTATATAGCAAAAACTATTTAATAAGCGTTATTATACCACTAAAAAGAGAATTTTTTAATAGAATATGGGGGACTAACAAGCACACAGTCCACCTAATGGTAAGTGGATGCTGTGGCCCATATAGAGAGAAAATGCAGGTGCGTTGTTAACCCTGAGGACTAAGATGGAATGCCTCATTTTCAGTGGACAGAGATCCAGTCTGTTCCAAAAGGATCTCCGGTTCTCTACACTCACTATAATTACGCTGGTATTCTGTGAGAGCGTGGTCCTACCTCGGTCGAGCCGACTCATTCGTACTACAACCATACTTATAGCTTGGCACGTACAAAAACTTGATAATAACCCCTTGGAATGGCGTTCCTACCATGCTACAATGCTGTTTCTTGCATGTTTTCATATTTAGTAACAATGAAAAATATAAAATATAATTAAAACCATTAAAAAACTACAATAAAAAAAACTGAAACTAATAAGTTAAATTATAATACAGTCCTACTCCCCGCGGTATCGTGCCAAGAACGCTGGCTGCGTTTCCTCGCTGAATGGCTATACTTAGCCTTTGAGCGAGAAAAGAACCAGCCCTCTTATCACCAGCAGCGACCACCAGTCACGGATATAAAATTCCTGAGGAACTTTACCGCACGTGGACCCCACGGACCGATAGTCTACAGTTGTATACAATTATTATATATTATTAGATATACAATTATCACATATTGTATACAATATTATATTGTAGAACGATATTTTTTTAAAGCGTCCCCTTTTGGTTTCTTACTGGTTCTTTCTAGGACAGAGACTTTTTTCCGAATAAGCGGTAAAAGCATTGAATTTCAAGGAGTATCCCTATAATCTATATTAAATAAAAATATTCTATTCTTTTCTATTCGTCAGATGTAGTTAAGCTCTATAAAAGAAATATTAATAGTTCCTTGAAGGCTCATTAAAATGCTATGACATTACAAAATTATTTTTAAATTCCTTTTTTTATAAGTGTATATATATATATATATATATATATATATATATATATATATATATATATATATATATATATACATATATATACATATATAATATATATGAGTAGACTGCTGTATTATTATACGCGTAAGTTAAATAGCCTCTCTTTAAATTTGTAAAACAGTCTGCAATAAACTATTCGACAGTGAATACATTGTTTTTTTTTTCTTTGAAGTAACATACAAGCAAGTGCGACCGCATAACAAAATAAAATTCAGCGACCACTTTTGAAATTTAGTGATTTGATAAAAAAAAATAATCTTCAAAATCGGGTCAAAATTGGCGAAGGTATTGCGTAACATACAAAAAAAAACCTACAGTCGAATTGTGACTTCCTACTTTTTTGAAGTCGACTAACAAACAATTATGAAACAAAGAAAGACGACAAACAAGACCATAAATCTTACATTTGCTTTTTTATTTCAGGTCCCGGATCAAACAAAGAAGCTATCATAACAAAGAAGAGTCTGAAGTATTTATCCTTCTACGTTCATGGACCAGGTAATATTCTCACCGCTCGCCACGTCAAATATACATATTATCAAATGCGGGAGCTTGCTCGAGACCGGGACATTAATTTCAAGAGAAAAACAATGCTGTACGTCGGAGGGTTTTTGGACAGCCCCAACTTTCCGATCGCCAGAACACTCGCCTCTGCCTACCACGAGGTCGGATACAACGTTTTGTTGCTGGACACGAACACATTCACAACAATGCAGTATCCGATGTAAGTAATTAAGCTTCGTCCTTGTAGGCTCTTGGTTCTCGTATCATCATAATCATCGTCACAGACCTCCCCCAAGGAACGGTCCTGAGCCATATGCATCCATCGATTTTCTGCATGTCTTACCAGGTCGTCACTACAGCTAGTGGGTGGACGTCCTAGACTTCGTCTACCGGTACGAGGCTACAAATCGAGAACTTTTCTTCCCCATCGGTTGTCGGTTCTTCAAGCTATATGGCCGACCCATTGCCACTTCAGCTTACTAATCCTTTGGGCTATGTCTGTTACTCTGGTTCTACTGCGGATATCCTCGTTTTTAAGTATATCATGCAGAGAAACGCCGAGCATAGCCAGATTACACATGATTTTTGTTTTACCATCTTAATTTTACGATCTTTCCGTTGTGGGACACTATTGAGGTCATTGAGCACAGTGCTTAGGTCCTCCAACGATTTTGCCATACGGACTATATCGTCGGCAAATCGAAGGTGATTGTACATCACTCGTCATTGATGTTAATACCGTATCCTTTCCAGTCCAGTAGTAAAACGTCTTCCAATACAGCGGTGAAGAGTTTCGGGGAATAACGGTTCTCGTATAGCTAAAGCATTTTGCTTTTGATGACACTTCGTCTATTTCTGCAAAAATAGGTCCCTGCTGTCAGCATTCTGCTTTGTCAGGTGGTGACTACAGACGTAATATATTTGACTGGTGGTGGTAAGCAGCGATAAAATTGCGATCTCTTGTATTGTGATCGCCACCATACCCTTCAAAGACTCCCTACAACAGTAGGGCCCACGCCCAGTGCTGGGATTTTACGGATTGATGTAGATGTAGAGAGAAAAAACCAGTTAGGGTTTTGTAATTGCGACATAGGAGAATCCACTAACTCACCACCACTCCTAGACGTAGTAAAAATCGACTATGGTAATGAAAATCCTTATTCCCTTCAAGCGGACCATAATATAGCTGTAGTGCGACTCTACCACGTTGCCTGATGTTGATATGCATTTAGAAGAATCTTGCACTGGCACGTCTTTTTTGAGTATTTGCTTATCCGCTGGGCAGCATGTCTTGACGACACACTGCCCGACGTGAATTGGATAACACAAGGCTGTTTCGTATGGTGAGCGTAGAGAAGCGAAGAACATTTTACTAGTAACGAGGCATTCTGTCTTAGTCTCCGGGATGACAACGCATCTGTATTTTGATATTAATCGAGAACAGATGTTGCGTTTATGGGCATCGTTCACTTACTCTCAAATGGACTGCTCATTTGCCACCCATATTCTATAAAAAAATGCTACTTAAAAGAATGTTGGTTTTTCCACTAGTACTTTATACGAATGAGGTTCAAAGTCGGGCCGTTCCATTAATGGGAAAAATTGTAACTAAGCAAAGATCTTTGTTTAATTAATTATTTACTGACACTACGTCTTTACATTGTTAGGAAGTTGTTTCCTGCATAGCAGTGTAAATGAGTAAATATATTTTTACTGCCTTATACATAAAAAGGTACAAAGAAGCTATAAGATTATAAAAAAGGTCTTATATCAGTAATGAGTAAATTGACAAAGTGTTTTGGTTCTTTTTATAGAATTAAGGTGACAAACGAGCTCACAGTCCACCTGATGGTAAGTGGTTGCTGTGGCCCATAGACATCTACATCTATCTTCGTTTGCGAATTAAAATGCAAATGCGTTGTCAGCCGTGAGGACTATGATGGAATGCCTCTTTTCCAGTAAAATGGGTTCCCGGTTCTCTACACTCACCATACGAAACAGAGCAGCATTAAGCTGCTACTTTACGCTGGTATTGTGAGAGCGTGGTCCTTGGTTTGTGCGAGACAGTCTCGCAATCTTCTCCTCCATCGGTCAGTAAAAGTCCGCAGTATGGCATATGCCTCTACTGTAAAGGGAGATTTGCTGTATTCGTCACTTCCATATTGACCTGCAAACACGGAAGACTATTCGAATATCCATTCATTCAGTCATTACAGACCATCAAAGTTCATTGCTGAAGTATTGGCCATTGCTGGGATTTATGTGCCCAGTGTAAAGAGCACCTCCTTCAAACTGGCTAAGACACATCATTTTATTTTATTACGTGGATATTAGCAAATAAAGTTTTAACATAATGATTTATTATCTTATTTACATTCAAATAAAACTAGTTTTACAGATTTTATCGTGTATATTAACTTATTTATATTCTCGACCTTTCGAGCACTTTACAGCACCCATGGTCGCCGTTCCGATCTACACACTATGAACTTATAGTATCTTGAAGCCTTGCAGTGGTATGCTTGGGTTGGGATGAATTAAAGCACCCAGACATCTTCTCTATTGAAATTAGAATAAACGTAAACCCTAGCTTTATTTTATTTTTAACATCTTTAATATACCTAATATATTTCCGTTAAGTAACGCCTGTTTCTCTTAATTACTTTGCTGGGATATTGGCAGTGATTGCTGTGTGTCTGGCAGGCGGATTGGTGACCGCAGTTTTATTATCATTATGACGCGTTTTAAGAAAGATGATAAAAGATAAAAGTTCCCGCTTTTACCTCATACGACACCCACGGGATAACATAAAGTACTGGATTCTCTTACGTGGTCAGTACAAAGCAGATCCGCTTAAGTTGAACTTAAATTCCTTAAGATCAATAATGATTTAAACGTGGTAGAGCCATGTTGCAGCTATATTAGTAGTACAGTTGTAACACGAATGGGTCGCCTCGACCGGGGAAGGACCACGCTCTCACAGAATACCAGCATTATATAGCAGCTTAACACTGCTGTGTTTCGTATGGTGAGTGTAGAGAACCGACGACCCTTTTTACTGGAAAAGAGGCATTCCATCTTAGTTATCACGGGTGACAACGCATCTGCATTTTGATTTGTAATATGTATAGATGTAGATGTCTATGGGCCACAGCAACAACTTACCATCAGGGGGACTGTGTGCTCGTTTGTTACCCTATCCTATAAAGAAATGACCAGTTTCAAATGTGAAATTATATTGACGATAAAAAACTTAAACCGATCATCGATTAGGAATTAAAATCGTGTGCGTGTCAACTCTGAGGGCTAAGATCGAATGTTTTTATTTACCAGTTAAAAGTGTCTCTGGTTTTCCGCACACAGTAAAAAACACCTCAGAATCCTCTATTTCAAGCTAATATATTATGTAAGAGCGTTGCATTTACCCTCAGAGTGTTTAAAAGCCTGATGAGATCTATAGAGAGTACTGGTTATCATCATCAGTGATTTTAAACGTGATGTATTTGCTAGAAGATTTTACTTATGTTTGAAATTTTTGAAATTCCGTTCTTCATTATTTCAGGGCCGTCCGTTTCATGCATCCTGTTGGAAGACATGTTGCCAAGATGCTGTCAGTACTAATGGAAGAGGGCTTAGATCCGAAGAAACTCGAAATCGTCGGACTTAGTCTCGGTGCACAAACTATGAGTTTCATAGCGAAGAGTTTCCAAGAAATTACCGGTGTGAACGTATCCAGACTAACCGGGCTGGATCCAGCCGGACCGTGTTTTAGAAATCTTGGTCCGGATCAGCGTCTAGACCAGGTGGACGCCGATTTTGTAGAGGTCGTGCAGACGAATATAGATGGCTTTGGAATGGCGGCACCTATAGGACACGTCAATTTTTATATAAACGGCGGAGAATATCAGCCTGGTGAAGTATTATGGATGCCGTGCAATGTCCTTTGTAGTCATATTAGATCGTTCACACTATGGGTGGCTGCATTAAAACACCCAGATTCATTTATAGCGATGCAGTGCGATTCGGTGCAACAAGCCAGGGATAAGAATTGCTACGATAGGAAACCTTTGGTGACAAACCTTTTGGGTTTAAAAGTTGACAAAACAAAGCCTGGAATATTCTACCTGTCGACTAATAACAATTTCCCGTACTATTTAGGCGAGGAAGGCCTTAAGCGAGAGAACGATTTTTTTATGAAGATGACGAAAACGATCAACGACAAATCTGTGATCAAAATGTGATATTAGATTATTAGATTAGAATGAAATTCACTTTTGTTTTATTTATTATTCCTTTTATCAAATAAGACATTCATCATCATCATTATCGTTCCAGCCTTTCATAAGTCCACTGCTGAACATAGGCGTCCCCCAAGGAATGCCACAAAGCACGGTCCTGAGCCACCTGCATCCATCGACTTCCTGCATGTATTACCAGATCGTCAATCCATCTAGTGGGGGGTCACGCTACACTTCTCCTACCGGTACGGGGCTGCCAGTCGAGAACCTTTCTTCCCCATCGGTTGTCGGTTCTTCGAGCTATAAGGCTAAATAAGACATTGTTATATTTTAAATTTCTATCAAGTCATAATTCATCCTCATTATTTAGGTACATAAAAATTACATCCTTTCAAAGGCCCACTGTTGAACATAGGCCTTCCCTGTAGATTGCTTTATACATGCCACGTTTGCAATTGCAAGGCGGGTTAGTAACCGCACGTTTATTTTAAGTTGTTATCATGAATTCATCTCCTATCATCTCCTATTCTCTACTGTCGCCTCTTACGACACCCAAGGTGAATAATCAAGTACGAGTAAAGCATGCAATGTGATAAATAAGAATACTTAAATAGAGACTATAAGAAATGATACGATACGTCACGCCTGTAATCCCCGAGGGAGTAGGTAGAGTAATTATAAATATCTGCCAGAGAATAAAGTAAACAATCCATTAATCGCCTTTTACGACATGCTGACACTATTGCACCCACATATACTTGGGACCTATAAGTTCAAGATCGACATGGGGCAACATGATAATGTAAAAATATTTTAAAAGGTAGCACACCGCCATCTATTGGAAGTCATAAGATTGTTCTGGTATTTCTCACGCTCGCCTACTACGACACCCACGGGACGAACGGGTGATGAATTGTAGGAAAAAAATCCTATTATATTTGTCTCATTATAGATATAAAAATATTAATTTTCAGTCATCCGTGCCAAATTTAGTATACATAAACGGAACACATAGGATCACCTAAGTCTAAATGTTTTTCTGTCACTTCTGTTTGTCTGTACGTAATGACAAAAATAATCCGCCACCCCATTTTACCAATACCTAACATAATGATAAATTCATAACATTATTATTTGATAATTAAATATATAAGTACCTACATGAAGAAGCAATCTGATTGCGGTCAATTTTTTTATATTCTTTATAAAACTGAAGTGACTAAAGAACTTGTAGTCTACCTGATGGTAACTGACTACTGAAGTCTTTATTATATATACACATACAGCCAATTGCAAACAAAGAAAGCTTGAGTTGCGTTGTCACTTCTAAGGGCTAAGATGGAATGCCTCACTGCTTGTAATTACACTGGTTCTGTTTACACTTCAGACCAGAACATTGCAGTACAAGCGCTACCTATTATTTTTGACGGCAGTATTTATTAAGAGTGCCTTAAACGGATATTTAAGTATTTTCATGACGTTTTTTTTAATTATCTCTCTTACGATAGATGTAGGGAATTTTTATCTTTTTCTATAACTCTGCCATCTAACGTGATAACGTATTTGTACAGTCGAATGAAATCACTTCACACATAGAGATGGTTTAATATAATATCGCTAGATGGCAGTAGTATTAATACCTCGTGTATTATTCTTGAACAATATTATTTTTATGTAAATAAATAATGGTTGTTAACAGTGAAATCAAATATTTAATATACTCAATAGATAATAATAATATTTAAAAAGATTCCTATATTTTAGAGAAATAATTTGGGACAACAACAACCAAAAGCAGTTTTATTAAATTGTGTCTTATGTTAGTATAATTTCTTGTTCAGAGATGGCACTATAATAAATAAATGGTAGTTATTTTTATGGATATTTTGTAATCCACTTGAGGTAGAATTAGACTTTTTCTTTTTGAGATTTTGAAAAGAAAAAGCTGAAAAATTGGCCGGTAATCCGTAAAAAATAAGAAGCCCAGAACCGACAATAACACACTTACAGAAAAGATCATACAGAGGATAAAATAGTGGCACAGGTGTCAACGTAAAAGAATTAACTTTTTCTGAATTTCACTCCTTTTCTTTATTGTTCTGCCAATGTTGGCAAGCTCGAGTAATACCAACGGTACAGAGGACGGTTTGGACTGGTTTGGATGTAGAGTCGGAAACACGAAGACGATCGCATCCAAAAAAAAATTATACGTATACATTTATACGGAATTTGATTTTAAAGAAGATAAAATTTCTGTCGTAAAATATACAATTCTGTTACTGTAATTATCATCATCTTTTATATTAGCCCATTATTTAGACAGAGGCTCACTCCAGGACATGGGCCATTACCCATATAGGGAGGGTTTGCTTTAATCGTCACAGAGGTTAGCACCTTTAACTTTGCAGCCCGTCCATGCTGTAAGTATATTACCTAATCATTATTGATAAATAGTTCACTGCTAGATATACAATGAAAAAATCGTAAGAGAAGAGAAAAAGAATGGGTCGGCTCGACTAGGGAACGACCACATGTTCTCACAGAATACCAGCGTGAAATAGCAGTTTAATACTGCTGTTTTTCGTATGGTGAGTGTAGAGAAGCGGTGACCCTTTTTACTGGAAACGAGGCATTTCATCTCAGTCCTCAGGGGTGAACAACGCATCTGCATTTTGATTCTTAATTGAGGATAAATGTAGATAGAATATAGTGGTCTGTGTGCTCGTTTGTCACCCTTATTCTATATAAATAAAAAAAAAAGAAACAAACAGAGAGAAAAATAAAAGGCGGTCTTATATATACCTACAGCCATTTCTTCTTGATAACCTAAATACATAATTTGCGCTAATTTAATACTCACTAATTGTTATTAACTTTCGGGATTATTTATTAACTTGCAAGCATTAAACAGGGTCAAAGAAACGTGACTTTTTTATAGAGTGTCAAACGAGCACACAGTCCAAGTGATGGTAAGTGGTTGCAGTAACCCATAGATATTTATCCTCGATTAAGAATCAGAATGTAGATTCTTTGTTACCATTGAAACAAAAGATAAAAGGCCTCGTTACCCGTAAAAAGGGCCTCCGGTTCTCTACACTCACCATGCGAAACAGCAGCGTTAAGTTGCTATTTTACGCTGGTATTCTGTGAGAGCGTGGATCTTCCACGGTTCATAAAATAGCTGCAGCATGGCTCTACCACGGTAAAACTTCAAACAATATATTATGCTACAATGCATTCGTTTTTGCTCCCGAGGACTAAGATGAAATGGTTCTCAGCCTGTTATAATAACCATGTTACTTTTCAAACGAGAAATATCAACCAAATCTGAACGAGGATACAAATTGTTGACGTTATATTATAATCAAATCTTTAAAAGACAACACCACTACAACAAAACTGGCAAGATATAAGTTTTAACTTTAAATATTAATTATTTTTTATTTCTTAATTGATGTTTTTTGAAATGTTCATCTATTTTGAAAGAAAGAAATAAAAGACAGAAAATAAGTTCATTTAGTAACACATTGTAGCAATTAGCTTACAATAATAACATATAAATTTGGTAAATGGTTAGTAAAAAGCTCACTCTAACGCTAACTCAGCATATGCTTGGTACTATTAAAGTAAAAATAATTTGAGAAAGTATGACGTTATTTCAAAACATTTTTCTTATAAAGAAATAAAAGTGACAAGCGAACACGTAGTCCAACTAATGGTATGAAAGTACTGTGGCTTATAGACATTCTATCGTTGATTATGAATAAAATGCAGATATGTTGTTACCCCTGATGACTAAGATAAAGTCTCAGTAAAAATTCCGACGCTGATCTTTATTAGGTGTCAAAGAAAATTAACAAAAACTAAACGTAACAATATTCATTATTATACAATTTTAAGTAAAATGCACAAATATTTTGTATTACTGTTTATCATAATTTCTTATTCTATCTATTTAATATAGTTACGATGCGTTATTATTATCAAATATCTATTAAAGGGTAACTCGAAGGGTCAAATATTCATGTCTACGATATTCAAATCCGCTGGCAGCTGTTTACCTGGCCATCTTTTGTTTAAAAACCAAATCACTTACGGTTTTTGGGCTCATTATTATGCCATCCGGGTCAATACGGCAATGAGGGGTCATGTCCACAAAGGGTTTTAATTTAGACGCATGCCTGGACCATTTATAAGGATGTTACTGAATTTAAACTCTATCGCGTCAGAAACAAGGCCTGTTTATCGGTGATGTGTAAATTTTAAGTTTTTTTCTATTTGGAAGGGTCAGCTAAGATTTGTTCTGACAATAGAACTTTTGGTGGCCATGGAATGTTTTGGTCGGAGCTTATCAGCACCTGGCCTTCATTTGAATATGACGTAATTCTTATTTAGTTGGCTAACTTTTTTTAATATTGTAAGGGCATTAAGAATTTAACATAGATTTGGACGATGTTCTCAAAGGAATGTCTATATTATTATTTTCTAAATATTGTAATGACAAACGAGCTTACAGTTTATTTCATATTGGTTACACTGTAGCTTAATAAACTAACTGCATTCAACTACTTATGATTATGATGGCAGACTACTCGCCATCTAATTCAGAGTTTAAATCAAATTATAGGCCCTACGTACGTAGGGCAACAAAAATTGAGTAAGTCTCATTTGAGTGTTCCCCTCCACGGAAATCTTTAGTAAAAGGCGAAAGATTTATACGTTTTGAAGGGAAACCAGAGTAACGTAAAATTGTTAATGAATGCTTATACCTATTTTTAACAAATGAAACCATAGCGCGATTTTTTTCTACGCAGCGCCATCTACCGAAGACAATGTAGCACTAAAATATTTTCAGATTCATTGCATCCACGGAGCAATTTGTATTTGTTTCATTAGTCAAAATCATGAGCTTAGCTTAATTTGTAAAGTAATAATTTACAGAACTCAAGGCCCTTATTAAAATTTAATAATTGCAGATAACTAAAAGAAAGCCTTAGGTTCGT